ATTCAAGTGAGAGGCCCTGTCTCAATAATAAGATAGAGGGTAATTACAGAAGACTCCTGACATCAACCAGGGCCTTCCATATACATGTGTGCACATGAACACACATGTGTGCTCCTGAACATACATATGAACTCAAATACAAACACATTGAGAAGGAGAGAGAGAAAAAAAAACTCCCCAAACCAGAACAGGTACCCTAGTGGAGATGAAGGACAAGGCATGAGAAAGATGCAACGGTGTAAGTTCATTGATAAAAGAGAAGCTTCCCAAGCATGGAGACTGGGATTATGTCAGAAATCTCTGTAACTTCTGCTCAATATTCAAGAAGCAAACTTAAAACTGCTCTAAAAAACCACTAAACCAAATACTAAAATAGTAGGCAATCAATTTTGACCTAGTGACCACAAGAGTATTTGCCAATTTGAGTCATGTGGTATTTGGGTGAGTAGTCTGTAATCAGGCAGCTCTCCTAAGCTTTGAGTCTCCAGATGAGGCACTCGAAGGCTGACTCATTTCCTTGTAGGTACATTGTGTTCAGAAGGTTTAAGTGAGGTCTCTGGACAGAGGGAGGAGAGTTCCAACTGCAGAAAATGTCTAAGGGCGTTTAAAAATTAGAGCCACGAAAGGGAAGGTTCTGGAAGTGGGATACATGTGTGCTGGAAGGGTGACCAGCTCATGTCTGCATGATGACAGCAGCTCAAATGTGCAAAGTGGCTTTTGTCCATACAAGCTGCTCCAGCAGGAACAGGCCAGCTCTGTGTCCGCTGTGGACTTGCTAGATCCCTTGGGGAGGGATTCTTTCCCAGAACATGAATACTGTCTTGTATCTAGCCTGTGATTCTGTGAACTTTCTAGCAACGGCTTGCTCAGCTGGGTGCATCTTGAAGAATCGTTTATTTGCTATGGGTTTGACATTCCTCTTTTACACTGTCGTTGGGACTCGGTAGCTCTCAGTAAGGACCTGAATTGAAAGAGTTTTCCTAGTTAGGCCATAGCTGCTGTAACTGATTGTTCTTGTGACACAGGGCAGTGTGTTGTGTGGTACCCTCAGGCTGGCAGAAAAGGCAGTAGGCACAAGAATTCCTGTGTGGGAGGGCTCTTCCTTCTATTAACCACAATTGCTAAAGCACTATTATGAAGCACTGTGTTCGATATCCCCAGAATGGTCTATATTTGAAACTGTGTATGTGTGGATTATTTTATTTTTTTCTAGATGGCTTAACAAAAGCCAGACTGCTGATGAGTCTAATGATTAGACGGCATCTCAGAATTCCTCACACAATCACGTCAGGTTCAGTTTTGAGTTCTTAGCAGAACAAAGCTGGTATTTAGCTAGCAATCTCACTGAAGACCACGAACCCATGGAGGCCCTGAAGGGAAGATCAGTGTGTGCTAAGAAACGAAGGAGGTCAGGCTGAAATGCTTCACATCCCACTGTCCCAGCTACACGTCATCATAAAAGGACACAACTATGACAGTAAAAAGACTGGGGAGGAAGTACTGACAGGTGCCAGACACGTGCATTAGGTTTGTAGTTCTTGTTCACAGACAGCCCTAATAACAAGCCTCAGAATTTGCATAAAGCAAACTGTTATATTTATGTCCCTCATTTCACTATCAAACTGGCATTCCAGAGGCAGCCTTCAGAGTGGCTGAGAGTGCACCATCAGTATTTGTGGTGTGCCGTGTGCAGGGACACGGGCATGGCCTCAGGAGCTCGGCTTGACATTTCCCTCTGTTCCTGTCATGTCTACCATCACACCCGCTTTCTTTGGAGCCAAACTTAGATGCTGTGACATCACTCTTGAGTAGCAATAAAATTGTCCTCTTTTCTTTCTTTTTCCACTACAGACCAGAAACTCCAGGGATGCACATGGGACACATGTATGTGTTGTTATTATTATTGTTGTTGTGTATCTGTGTGTGTTTGTGAAGAATACATTCTTAATCTCTACTTGAAAAACATCTCTTATTTTATTAGTTTTCAAGAGCTTTTGGTAATGAGAATATTGTAGCATAGAGTAAGCAAGCATTTAAACTAAGCTGTCAGACACGAGAGACCTGTGTGTTAGTCAAATGCATGTGAGATAGCTCCCAAAGTTAATACCAGCAGTGCAGAAGACCGGAGACTTCCAGTTTAGTGGTGTCCATAAAGAACCACTGCTTTCCAAAGAGAAAAAGTTGGACTCTGAGAATAGACTCAAAACAAATACATTTATTTCTCATATAAGCAAAATGATCTTAATGTAAATACCAAGTATCTGATTTGTTACAAACCATGAAGTGTCAATGTTTCCTTCCTTCCTTCCTCCCCTATCCCTCCCTCCCTCTCTTTCTTTCTTTCTTTCTTTCTTTCTTTCTTTCTTTCTTTCTTTCTTTCTTTCTTTCTTTTTTTTTTTTTTTGCTATCCAGTGCCCAAGAAACAAGAAAATAAGTTGCCATAAGTTAGCTATGGAGGACCACGAGACTCAAGATGAGGTTGTTACTTTATCCAGGGTGTTCCCAAAACCCATCTCCACCCAACATAAAAGAGAGGACTTCTGCCCCTAGACCAAGCAGAGAGGGGCCGCCCAGAACCCCCTCTGACTGGTGATCTGAATTCTTGCTTAGGCTGCGAGGCTAAGCACTGCAAGGGAATATAAATAAAACTTAAAAATATCTCTCTGGGTTCCCTGAGAGACAAGCCTGACTGCATAGTGGTTGATGTCAAAAGTATCCCCTCTCCAGGAAAAAGACATCGGGACGGGTATGGCCCTCATGCCTCACTGGACAACGACAAGGGGACCAGAGCTTTTAGAAGGTCCCCTTCAATTACTGGAGGTCAGGCCTCTATCCCCGCCTTCCCAAGATTAGAATTGCCACAGCCCTTCTATACTTAGAGAAGGGAGGAGATGTCAGGGGCAGCCCTGCTTACACACTGAAGGCCTAAAATCAGCCATAGGCCTAAAATCAGCAATAGGCCTGTCATACATGTATACTAACACCAAGTCTTGGGTCTCTGTGGATACACATTGAAACAGATGGCTATAAGCTATTGTAAACAGGCAGCTTTTGTGGAAATTTACCAGCCTGAGTAGTCATAGACCTTGTAAATAGGTAGCCTTGGCAGATAATACCAACTTAGATAAGGACAAGTGAATCATAGGCAGAGTCATAATGACCTGTCCCCTGAACCTTCACCCAGCCGATACCCTGTTCTGAAAGATATCTGTATTCCCCCTGAACACCCATACTCCAGTGTCATTCCCTTCCCCACGTCCTGCCTTTTCGTGTTTATAACCTCTGTGTGAAATTACGATTTGAAAAAAATAAATTATTTAAAAAAAAGAAAAAAAAAGAAAATAAGTTGCATAGCAAAGTCAAAAGAGTCTGGACCAGAGCTTGGCAAACTATAGACATGGATTGGTTACTATTTTTTGTTTTGTTTTGTTAATAACTGCTGATGTACATTCATTATCATTTGTTTACATATTGTCCATGGCTACATTTATGCTGTTATGGAATAGCTGAGTAGTGGGGGACAGATACCATATAAATAACACAAACCCTCAAATATTTACTTTGTAAGTCTTTACTTTGTCCTCTAGACAAATAGTCAGAGGAGCCAAATGCTGGCCAAGGGTTCCCAGCTTACAATGTCAGAAGGAACGGGCTGACTTTGGTTGTCAAGCACTAAGTACTAAAGAGAAAGACAAACAAAACACCCTCTAAGCCAGTAGACAATGCTTCTATCCCCCTTGGTTTGGTACACCATAATCAGTGAAACTAGGTCTGAATACATTATATATGTAATCCTGATTCCAAAAGCATCCCTGTATTGCATAAACTAATTTCATTTCTCAAAACCTTTAATGCAAATGTGAGGGTACAAACAAACTGTAGTTAAGCTTGTGTCTGTAAACTACAGTGCTCAGAACTGGGTGCTGCAGCTGTGAAGATGGTCCTATAGCTCAAATAAAACCCCTTTCCCAATTTTTGAAACTAATGTCAAGATTTACTAGAAATCTATAGTTTAAGGCACTGGATACATAACTTGGCTGAGTCTCTCAGAGCCAACACACTGTACCCACTCAGTAAAGTGTCATTAATTATATGACTGTTGCATCTAGACCAATGGGCACTTGTCAAGGTGGCAGGTATTGCTGACAGCTATCCGGCGTTCAGAAACCATATGTGGGCTTTGGGATATTCCAGTTTGGTTAAGAGTTCAGGTTATAAGAAAAAATAAAAGACTAGAAATAGTTTAGGTTAGTATCTCATTAGCTCTGAGTTTAGCACCATGCACAAGCACAATTCTTGAGTGGCACTGGACTGGCATGGTTTGAACAACCTGAGGCTTTAAGGATGGGCCTTATTATTTGGTCGCAACAAATTTGTCCCCCTTTCTCATTGTTTAAATACTAGGTACAGCATAAGGAGAAATCATTATACCGATTCTGCCTGAAACGTATGTTAGTAGAGATGGCGGGTGGTCACAGAGCATCGTATGTGACATAAGTCACCTGTTGGATCTCATGGCTGTATTCTATGGCCAGATTCAAGCAGTTGAAGCCCTCTCCTCTAATTATGATTTTTCTTTTCTTGAAAAACTGGCAAAGTTTGGAGGACTTGGGGGGGGGAGACACAGTGTGTAGCATGAATATCCTAAGAAACTAAATGCCATTTTAAGACATATAAAGCCACTGATAAAGTATAGAATCTGTAACAATTTAAGTCATATGACGAAGTTTTTCTTGAGTTTCAATGTAAATATAAGGGGATCATAAGGCTGGAGAAAATGCTACCATCCTAGAGTTTTAGCTATTTTAACACTTTATGAATTTATGTGTCATACTTATGCCGAGGCCATGATAACATATGTGTTGCTTGAATTTTAGTACATATGCCGCAGAGGTGAACACAGTCATACATCTTAAATGCTCCCACTTTAGGCTTAGAAACTGCCACTAGCAGGTCTTAGAGTTTTTAGTAAATGCCATCTGAGAACACCACTTGTAAACTCAATTTTGCAATGAGGCTCTTTATTTTCAAAGGAAGATTTTAACAGAATTGGCTGAGACAGTGACTTGCCATACAACATAGAAGAAGGAGTTCCTTAAGAGAGGTTCACAGAGGTGCCCAAGAACAAAGCACATCAAATCTTCCTTCAGAGACTAAGGCTGGAGCACGAGAGGGTGTTTTTGAAGCCAACACGCAGATTCTGCAAGCCACATGGAAAGCGACCTCTGCCTTCTATGGCCAAATCTCGAGTGCACATTTTTGTGTGACATTCCTGCTCCAGCAGCCAGGCTCTCATTAAGATCCAGCCAGTGAGATGAGCGCCAGGGAGAATGCAGGGTGTGGGGAGCACTCGGAGTTACATTCCATGAAAGCATTAGACTGTTGGAGATTAGGAGGGCCCTGATTGTCCACAGTGGGGGAGAAGAGTGAATCGAATACGCGCACATGTCAGCGTGAAATAGCTGCTGACACAGAGCGAACATGTGCAATCCTTTAAAAGGTGGTATTGAATAGCAGGCCAACAGCCATCCCTCTTGGCAACCTAGGCTTCTTTCTTCTCTCCACACTGGCCCCTTGTTGGGTCACCTCCATCAGGCAAGGTTCCATAGGATAAGCCATTTGGGTCTGGTTGTATTGTGTCCAACATTTGTTTCCCTGTGGAGATAATAATCATAAAAGACCTTTTGAGCTCTTAAAGATTAAAGTGTCCTAATAATTTCTCTTCAGTTCTGGGCACATTTTATGCCTTTAAAAAATACTATGTGGCTATCCTCTCAATGAAAAAGATAAAATGTCAGGGAAGAATGGCCCATGAAAATCTCAAAGCACTTGTCAGGTGGTCACATGCTCGTCCACATGACGTCTGCCCACCCTGTACTGGGCACAGAACAGGTTGGAACAGTCAGGAGAGCCACATAACTTAGTCACTCGTCTACAGACACTGGTGTTTTGTCTTTCCGAATGTCCATATAACAGCACAGGAAACCATTACGGACGAGGAACTTTAAGAGCCATTGCCAAGCCTATATGTGAGGCATTGTGAAGTGCAAAATAGTTTAAAACCCAACAAAAAAATCATTTTATTTTCCAGCATTTTTATTTCTTCCCCTATCTCAAAAGCAGTTTTAAGCAAGTCATAACAAGCATTGTTGTTACAAATGTTTGTTCTGTCACCGAGTATTGATGAGGTAGCTCCCATGGCAAAGAAAATACCAAACACACTTTCTTGGCCTCCACTCATCAATCCTATAGAAACTTTAACGATTCTTGTTTTAAAGAATCTAACAGAATGGTGGACAGAACTGTCTTCTACTACACAGCGACTTGTAGGTGACCTCGAATCCCTCACAGAGCTTGGAATGAATGGCTGGGCCAGGCTGGGAGAACAGGAAGCCCAGCTTCTGTTATGTACTCTACATGCCCAAGATGAGTTGTTTCTCAGTGGAAATGAGCATTTGGAAGATGGTACCCATTGGCCCAGTCTGCAAGAGCAGCTGCCTCAGCCTTTCTTGGGAGTGATGCTTAACCTTTGGATGCTCAACCCTATCAAAGGGTCTGTAGGTGTCAGGCATCTGCTGTTCCCACGCATCCATGTCCGCTGACACTTTAAGGAAACCCAATGAAGAGATCTGCCAAGTGAACCACATCAAAGTAGCCTGCTCATTTCCTCAACCGTTTCATTGTTTTGTGAGAACTGACATTCTATAGATAGACTACCAACACTATACCTTCCAGGGCTTCATCACTAAATGCACTTCTTGAGGCGAAAATTACGTTTTCATATTAACACCCAAAATAATGCTGATAATGATTAATTTCTAAGGATGCATTTTTTTGTATTTAAAAATGTACACGTATTTGTGTGTGTGTGTGTGTGCATGCACAGAACACTGTGGGAAGTTGGGTCTCTCCTTCCACCATGTGAGTCCCAGGGGACCAACTCGTGTCATCAGTCTTGATGGCTAGCACTTTTACTCACTGAGCCTAAGGATATACATTAGAGAAAAAAATACATATCTTTTTCTTACCAGGAATATTCCCAAAATCAATAAAAGACTGTTGTAGATGTTCCTTTTCTCTATTTCTTGTCACTAAAAATACTCCAAGGAATGACAGAACGCACCTGTAAGAAACACATTAATAAAGAACAGGAATACTGAAACAGCTCATGATATTAAATAGTTGAGCTGTAACTTCTACACGATGACATAAATTCCACCGGTTTTGTATATATCATTCCTTATGGTAAACTGCTTCAAACTAATCATAATTCTTACAGCCAGACATAGTCATACCCAGAGCCGAGAGCTGGGCAGTTTCCAGCAACTCTCTAGCCCAGGTTTCCACCATCTGCAGGCTAACTCAGGCTCTAAACCCTTTGGGTAGACATTAGGTCTTGTTTTCTATCCATGCATGCCCAGACCCATTACTGGCATGCAATATGAGTGCAAAACAAGTTATTCTTTAATTTTCTAAGAAATCTCATTGTCCTTGGCCATAAGAGTAGTCATAGTTTCCAGACCCTAGAAGTTTGGCCGCGCCCAGATGTCTTATGAAATTGAATTTTCAAGATAGATGGTTTCCTATGTTGAAAATAGACTAGGCTCCAGTTTGCATAACAATGGTCATGCTGAATAGCAGAGCAAGAAGCAGCTAAGCATTAATAGGATGTACTTGGAGCCAATGGAAGCAGCTGTTGATTGGCAACACATCGTCGAGGGCTAGCTCTGTTTGCCAGCAATCTCTAGGAGAGGCCTAACTGGGTGCTTTAAGACAGAAAGGGCAGGTACCAACCTGAAGCTATTGAATCCTAAACTAGGATCTACCATAGTCTTGGCCTTTTCTTTTGGGTGATCCAAAAGGTATCCATGTTTCTGAAATAGAGATCTAACCTAAGAGTTCCCAAGGGAGAGGGGGACCTGATGTAAGGCTACAGAGTAACCACAGAGATCCATGGATTTATTGTGATTTTGGTTGGAACTGAAAATCCACAATGTTTCAGAACTCTCAAAGGGGTACAAAAGCTACAAAGCCAAGGGCACAGTCTTGTGTAAATGGTAAATTGAAAAATATGTTTCTTCTAGTATGCTGCAATTTTCTATACTTCAGGTATACATAGGTATACAAAGCTAATAGAGCTTCACATACCTTACCTCTGAGATGTGTACTCACCCAAAAAGATATATAAATACAGTGAGAAAAGCAGCACCAAGGAATTCCTGGTAAAATATGATGCCTATATAAGATCAGAGGTCAAAGTTAATTTCAGGGTAAGGGAATTTATAATAGCAACCCATTATTATTTTTTAAAGTATTTATGTTTTTATTAGTAAGTTAAAGATACGTCTCAGGAAGCCCTAGTTTACCTGATCACTAATCACCACAGTGAACAATCATATCCCTGAAACAACAGGTCTCTCTATTGTCTCTCTTTTTTTTATAATTTATTTTTTCTCAAATCGTAATTCATTCACACAGGGGTTATAAACACAGAAAGGCAGGATGTGGGGAAGGGAATGACACTGGAGTGTGGGTGTTCAGGGGGAATACAGATATCTTTCAGAACAGGGTATCGGCTGGGTGAAGGTTCAGGGGACAAGTCATTATGACTCTGCCTATGACTCACTTGACCTTATCTAAGTTGGTATTGTCTGCCAAGGCTATCTATTTACAAGGTCTATGACTATTCAGCCTGGTAAATTTCCACAAAAGCTGCCTGTTTACAATAGCTTATAGCCATCTGTTTCAATGTTTTTTCCACTGAGACCCAAGAATTGGTGTTAGTATACATGTATGACAGGCCTATTGCTGATTTTAGGCCTATGGCTGATTTTAGGCCTTCAGTGTATATGCAGGACTGCCCCTGACATCTCCTCCCTTCTCTAAGTATAGAAGGGCTGTGGCAATTCTAATCTTGGGAAGGCGGGGATAGAGGCCTGACCTCCAGTAATTGAAGGGGACCTTGTAATGGCTCCAGTCCCCCTGTCATTGTCCAGTGAGGCATGAGGGCCATACCCATCTGTTGGGAGCCGACTCTTAGCCGAAAGTGGCTATCATCTTTACAGCCATCTCGAGCCATATACCCTGACAAGAGACTTGTTTCAACAGCCTGCAATAGCTGAGCGCACTCTGATAAACATCTTGTTACACTGTTTAGTGCCCCCAGCTGCCAGGTGCTCCTGGTATCCATGGCTACAAGGCACGTGATGTAGTGGCTTCAGTTGAGATTGTCCACGAGGGCAAGTCACGTGGTAAAGGGTATAAATACCCAGGATTTCCCTTCTATAGAGAGTAGAGCAGTAGAGGAGTAGAGGAGTCGAGGAGTCGAGGAGGTAGAGGTAGAAAGGTAGAGGTAGTAAGTAGTAGGAGGTAGTAGGAAGTAGGAAGTAGAGGAAGGAGAGAGAAAGTGAGAGGTGTCAGGAGACTGAAGGAGTGAGAATATAGTAAGAAGAGAAGAGAATAAAGAAGACTTGAAGAGACTCCACCGGACTCTGGCTTGTATCTATCTTTTGCGTCTCTCGCCCCTTTTTTCCCCTTCCTCCGTCCCCACGTTCTCTCTTGCTAGACCCTGACCTGCCGACCGGAGCAGCAGAACCGGCCGGCCTTTACAAAGTAGCAGAACCTGACGGCCGTTACAAAAGAAACGGCAGTTACACCCATCCCGATGTCTTTTTCCTGGAGAGGGGATACTTTTGACATTAACCCCTGTGCCGTCAGGCTTGTCTCTCAGGGAACCCAGAGAGATATTTTTAAGTTTTATTTATATTCCCTTGCAGTGCTTAGCCTCGCAGCCTAAGCAAGAATTCAGATCGCCAGTCAGAGGGGGTTCTCAACCCATTATTTTTTAAAAAATCGTTAATACACTTTTCTATGTGAGATTTCTCCTAAAATGCACATTCGGTATTTTAATCTAAAGACTCTGTGTGCTACTTTTACATTTTAAACCATTCAAAAGTTAAGTTACGTGGGCTTATAGACGTAATATAATTATCAACGTTACAAAACCTACATGATTTTTGTAAGGAGAAATTTCATTTTTGCTTATATATGCATGTATCTGTGTGTGTACGCATGGACATATGTGTGCACATGCATGTTTGAGAGTGCATAGGCCAGAGCATAGCCTCAGGGTCTTTTCTCATGAGCTGTCCACCACACTGGTTTCAGGGACAGGGTCTCTCATTTGGCTAGGCTGGCTAGCGACTGAGCCTCTGGGATCACAGACACGGCTTGCTTGGGAGGCACTTTACTGCCTGAGCTGTCTTCCCAGAACTGTAAACAGAAATGCCTTTTGCAGTCCAGGTTTTCTCGAGAACAAATCACCAGTGAGCATTTGCTATCAGGAGTTAGTAAACCTACCTGAGAATCTGGGTAGATCACGGGGCCACGGCATGGTGGCTCTACCCCAGGCTGCCTGCTGCAGCTCTGTTGTCCCTTTGGCTATGCCCTGTGCTCTGTAAGTCTGGCCGGATGCCCAAATGGGCACGAGGAAAATCCCTGGCAACCTGGCGTTGCCCTAGCTCCCCTCCCTCCATGGAGCTCCTCCTGTTTCCTCCCTCCCTCTCTCCCTATTAGTCCCAATGAGTTCTTCATTTAAAGTCCCAAGCGCTGTGCTGATCTTTTATTAAGTAGGAAATCTTTAAATCATGGATAATCTAAACTAGCTGTGTGCGTGCGGGTGGGGGTGTTGGTTTTGCTAGTTGGGCAGAGAAAACTTGCTGCATTTTGGGAGGTGCTGCTGTCCATGATGGAGACACTGTGGTGTGCAGGGTGAGCCCTGCTCTTAGGAGAGGCTGGCCAGTCTCAGCCTGACCTCCCCACTTACAGAATGAGCCTCTTCTGTTCTGCTGAATAGTTTCACACAGATGAGTATTTCCCAAGCACTCCCTGTACTGTAATGGACCTCTCTGTAGTCATGTTAAAAGTTTTGTTAATCTAGGTCAATGCACCCTAATGCTAATTTCTCTAAGGGCTTGTGAGCTGTATCTCTGCTCTTCAGTCAATCGGCACTGAGCTTCTAGGTGCACGCCTCCCCAGTGTTATGACACTTTTGTGTCGTGGGTTTCTGGAACTTCTGTTTTAGAGAGCAGAGACTTTTTATTTTTATTTTAAAGCTACATTAGAATATACATATTGTATATTCATTACCATTCTATCTGATGACTCTTTCCTTTTGAAAGCTTGAAGCTGTATTCTGATCAAACATTTCAACTCTTCCTTTCTCTGGTAACCACTATGTCTTTCTTTCTGTTTCTATGAATTTGACTCAGTAGATGAGCTCACTGTCTTTTTTTCTGTGATTGGCTTGATTCTTGTGATAATGTCCTCCTGCTTCATCAACACGGGGGCAGGTGGCAGAATCCCCTTCCTTTTCAGGAGTGAATAGAATTCTGTCATATACACTCCTCACACATTTTTCTGTCAATGGATCCTGGGATTGCTTTTTTCTTTTGGCTACTATGGTCAGTGCTACAAATTTTTGTTTATTTTTGGGGTACATGTATAAGGGTAGAATTTCTAGGCTGGACAATAATTTAAAAAAATTTGAGTAACTGCATATTGTTTACCATTTTATATTTTCATTTATACCATCTACCAATGGTACAGGAATTAACATTCTAATGTCTTATATCCTTGCCGATACTTCAGGTTTTTTTTTTGTTTTTTTGTTTTGTTTTTAATAGTGGCCACCCCAGGGTCGGAGAGATTGCTCTGCAGTTAAGAGCATTAGCTGCTCTTGTAGAGTCCCTGAGTTCAATTCCAGGCACCCAGATGGCTGCTTACAACCGTCTATAACTGTAGTTCCATTGGATCTGACTCCTTCTTCTGGTATATAGATGTGCATGCAAAAAAAAAAACCCATAAAACACATAAACAAATAAATCTTTTGTTGGGCATGGTGGGATATTTCGTTAATCCCACTACTCAGGAGGCAGAGGCAGAAAAACAAAAACAAAAACAAAAACAAAAACAAAAACAAAAACAAACAAGCCCCAAATAGCCATCATCCTAACGGACGTGGAGAGGTGCGTCTCATTTTATTTACTTGATGTTTACTGATGTTGGACATTTTCACTTGCTTGTTGGCAACTGTATATTTTCTTTGCAGAATCACTTAGGTTCTTTGCCCATTTTAAAAACAGGTCACTTGTGGTTTTGCTGTTGACTTGTAGAATCAGAGTAGATACGTTTTTAAGGTCCTTGACAAATTCAATGAAACTCAGTTCTGAGAGAGCGGCCCTACCTCCCCAAGCCCTTGCGGGTGCCTACCATCATGCAGCCCTGTCCTCGCCAGCTGCTGCAATACAACCGGACACTAATGTAGTAGGAAGGAAGTGATGTTACTTCAACTTTAAGCTATATCTTTTGCTGTGGAGATGAGATGGTCATTGGGAGGTGTTTCTACCATTCTATATGCAACATCAGATGAACGTTATCATTTCCAGAATGTTCCAGACTCCTAGCTCACTAGTTGCTCGGTGTGCTGAGCACTGTTTTCAGTCCTGTCAGCTGAAAATCCTTCTGTGCAAGGAACTACATTATTATACTTTTCTATGTATTGATTATTAAACTGAATGTCATGCCTGTAAATTTTGTTTACAAAAACAAAAAGGTTTTGGTTTTATTTTAATTTTCTGATAATTCTAGGATGCACCAACATACAGTCTTTTCTCACTGTCCCCAGAAAGCACTACACACACACACACACACACACACACACACACACACACAGATTCAGTTTTTTGGGAAACAGATTGTATGAATTATTTCAAGAAGTTGTTCACTGGTCTGAGCCTAGTGGCACACACCTGCGGTCCCAGCACTAGGGATGCAGAGGCAGGAGGTTGACTGCATATTAGTAGCCTGATGAGAAAATGGTAAACACATCAATAAGGTACTGAGCCAGCACTGATTATTATCAAATTTACAAATGATTTAGTTGAATCTATCGTATTTTGAAGTGGACCAAGTTTTATGTTTGTACTTTGTAACTGTATTTTCTATGCTATGCAAAAAGTATTCATTAAAGTACTCGAGCTGTAAGAGAGGAAATAGCAAGTGCACAAGTTTGTCAGCCTTCCCTGCAATGGTAAACTAGGTCAGGGACCACATTCTTTCACTAAAGACATGAGGGGCACAGAGGGATGGGTCTAAAGACTTGGGGTTGTTTGGCCTGGAGACAAGACTTAAGAGGGTTCTCAGTCCCTTTGATTAGAAGGAGCTGCAAGTACAAGACTTGAGAAAGCAGAGCACAGTGAGCGTCTTGAACTCATAAGGAAACTCATTTGAGCTCCAATGTCATTAGAACACTTGTTTAATGAGAGTCATTCCCAAACAGCACTGAGCTGCCTCAGGAAGCAGAAAACACCAGGAAGCATTCATACAAAGGAGAGGAGTATGGAGGAAATCAGATGCTGGCTGGAGGTTGGGGACATGGGCTCCCAGAGCTTCCTTGTTCCCCATTTTGACTCAGAGACTCGTGTACTTGTGGTGGGTGTGGAAAGCCAGGACTCACCTGCGATGATAGCGCTGGTTGTAAAGAAAACATGGTTGACTGGCACCACTGTGGTCATCGTGTAGAGTTCTGTGGCTTGATTCAGGAACCTATGGAAGATGGCATTTACCGAATCTCTGGGTTAGCAGTGCTCAGCAATGGCTAACATTAACTTCAAGAAATGTATGTTCTGCAGCTACAACTACAAAGGGACAGGAAGTGTAGTGAGAGGGCACTCTAGTTAGCAGTCACAGCTTAGACACATCTGATGCATGAGATCAGATGTCAGCTTTTATGGTCTGTTTAAACCAACAACAGTAACAATGAAAAGCAATTAATCATATTCCGAGGCCACAGAAGTTTGAGTTGGAAGCAATTCAAGCTGCTGGACCAGTATCACACTGGGGTTGATTCATTAAGATAGATCCTAGAATCTGTTAAATATCATATCTGGGAACATATAGTTATCCACTGACATGCCATGTGCCAAAAAAGGAGACAGAGAAGCAGAAGAATGTTTAAATGTTTCAAAAGCAATCCTTGCTGCTCCAGCTGCACAGCACATGTGGGGCTGCGGCCACCCTCGGGAACTCACGTCCCCAAATGGGCTGTGCAGCTATATGGCTCCAGTGGAGACAAAGCAGTGGCCTACATGGGCATCACCTGGGAGGTCTCAAAAGCACTGCTGTTAGGTAGAACAAGTGACTTGACCACTCTCCAGCAAGGAGCTACAGATGTATAGAATAACTGGAAAAAAAAAAGAGATTTGTGGATAAAGCTACTGTGTGTGCAGGTGTAGATGTGTATGTGTGTGTGTGTGTGTGTGTGTGTGTGTGTGTGAATACGCTTGTCTAAACAAACCTCCTCAGGTAATTTCAATGGGAATCAAGGTGGAGGACTACATTTTCACTTGGCGATGGTGGAGAGAGTTAAGTAAGGCTGACAGAATGCAGTCTTCCTTCAGCTTGTCTGCCTGTAAACTCATGAGGTGTGGTGTAGGGATAATGAGACCAATAACCAGATCCTACAGGCGCGGTTGTGCTCCCACTGACTCAGAAGGCAGACGTGGCGGAACAGCAATATTCAAGTTTGATAAACACGCTCAGTCTTAGGAAGTGACCCAGGACTTGCTGCCATCTGTAGGACAAGCCCTCCCCCCCCCCATTAGCAGCTTGAGCTCTGGCTTCCTTCTGGGCACAGGGATATGCTTCTGCATAGCGTTTTGGGGTGAACTCTCTGGCTAACTCTTAAGAGACTAGCAGGCAGAGGTTCAATCACAACATACAAGTAGGGAGAGTGACTGAACCAGATGGAGGTGGGGACAGGAAAGGTTTCATGTCGCCAGTATTAGGACCCAAGAGAAACATGAAACAATCATTCTGAAATCCTGTGGGTATGAAGGAAACTCTGGCCAAGGATGCAAAGTTCTGGGGAAAGGATTTTCCTCCAGGCCAAACGTCTGGTTTTGTCCGTCTCTAGGCAGTTAATGAGCATGAGTTGAAGATGGGGGTGAAGGGTTCATGCGTCTCTATATTTAGAATGAAACTGTGGATGTGGACCTGCCCCTTTGATTTATTGCTAATGACAACCTGTGTACCATGGGCATTAATTACAAGCAGGAGAGCATCAGGGAAGCATCAAGCACACTTAGCTGGATCACTGCTGCACTTAGAATGTATAAGACACAAGGGCCGTACTCAGTACAAACTAATTACTGGAAGGGAAGAGGAAAGCAAGCCTGGCTTTGGACGAGCTGCCTGTCCTGCAGCTCGAGACCCATTGTTCAGTTCAATTATCTTCTAAGCCAATGCTCAGAGAAGCACAGGAAGTCTGGAAGGCCATGGAGTTTGTAGACACTGACTTACTTGACTTGGAAAACACAAGAGGCTATCATGATGACAAGCATGATGTAGAAGATGGCGTAAGTTAGCTGCATTTTACCCGTCACAGAAAGGGTGATCATGCCTGAGACGGCTTTCACAGAAATCACAGTCAATGAGGCTGGAAGACAAAAACACAAATAGAATACATACCTGAGACAGACACAAATGTATATCTTAAGTTTGCTTGCTGGAGTAACAAGTGTGTCAGTCAGGTTCTTAGAACAATGTTTGTGAGGGTACAGATACACAGACACACACAGACACACAGACACACAGACACACCTAGATACACATAGATACACACACACACACAGACACACATAGATACACACACACAGACACACACAGATACACACACACACAGACACACACAGACACAGACACAGACACACAGACATACACAGGGTTCTACTGTTCACACTGTCCTGGGTTTGCTATAGGACCTTGTGCCTTCTTCTTCTGGAGCAAGGTGCTCACCTTGAGCCCTGCCTGTGGGAAAGAGACCGTGGAGACTGCCCTTACTAGTGGGTGGGACAGGCATAAGCAACGAAGGCGAGCAAGAAGTCAGAGTGTGAATGCAGCCTTAAAGGGAAAGTGACAAAAGACAAGGAAAAGTTCAAAGCTAAATAGGTGAGGAGACAGGACACAAAAATGACTTCCTGAGTACCCTGAATTTACTGAGGGTTATGCGAAGACTTTGTTAGTAATGCTTACACCCTGCTCTGTTCTTTCTGAAAAGGATAATGAAGAGGACCAGGACCAGAATTTATATTCACTTCTCAGACTGAACCATAACTATGACATTTACATAGCAATAGCTACTGATTTTCTGTGCTGAGGTGAGACTCTGGTGGGAACAAACTTTTCATGGGACAATTAAGAAACTCAGATTAGGGTGTGGGCTGTCAGAGCAGAGTGTAGTTTCTTCTCACATTTCTATAGGAATCCAGTGCTCTCTATCTGTCTCAGGTCCTTTGAAATTAAGTTGCAAACAATTTCTACTTTAGCTGAAATCCATAGAAAATTCTCAAGTAGGGGCCAGAGAGCTGGTTTGGTGGGTGAAATGCTTGCTGTGTAAACACAGGATCTGAGTTCAGATTTTAGTGTGCATCTGTTATCACACTGCTAGGGCTGGGGTCTGGTAGATAACGGGTCCCCAGGCTTCCTGGCCAGCCTAACTGAAACAGTTCAGGTTCAGTGCGACTGTCTCAAGAAGGTGGAGAAGCAACAGAGGAAGACTTTTCAAAGTCAGCCTCAGTCTGTCTTACACACACACAGGAGCAAGGCAGCACACACAGATACACTGCACATAGAAAAGAAAATTCACAGGTAACTTTTACATGAAATCAAGCAATTATAAGCCAAAAGGTGACATGAAAGAGTACTTCTGTATTACTATTGGTCTACATGGCCATAATATATCTGAACGTTTTCCTTTTTAGCTTTTAAAAAGATCATATGAAATATATAAAGAATGGTTTAAAAATAGGTAAAGATCCTCCATGATTTCATTTTTCTGAAGATAATCTATAATTGGAAGAGTACCAGGGCACATTCCAAACTAGGCATTCTCTTTCAACTAAAAGTCACGATTATCAGAGGAGTTAGGAGATAAATTCTAAACGAATCTCCAATCTGAGCAGAGAGGTTTGGAGCACTCCATCTGGAAGTGTCTTTGCCTGATCTGTTTACAGGTGTCAGATGTTATATTAGACTGATTAAGACAGCACTTAGATTATACCTGAGGTACAGATTCTAAGCTCTGTAGAGATCCGTATGCCACTCAGTGGTTAAGTTTGTTGTTCAGCTGTTCAGGAACTCAGAATTCCTCCTGAAACACACTGAAAGAAACTGCAGCACAATGTGCCTATGGCCTTGTGGTCTGGATAGCCCGGTCTCACAGAGGGGTAATTAGTGGAAAAGGAATTGAACATACTATTTCATTTAGAAGAGGAGGAAGAGGAGGAGGAAGAGGAAAAGGAGGAGGAGGAGGAAGAGGAGGAGGAGGAGGAAGAGGAGGAGGAAGAGGAAGAGGAGGAAGAGGAGGAAGAGGGAGAGGGGGAAGAGGAGGAAGAGGAGGAGGAGGAGGAGGAGGAGGAGGAGGAAGAAGAAGAAGAAGAAGAAGAAGAAGAAGAAGAAGAAGAAGAAGAAGAAACAACCAAAACTAGAATTTTTTAGAAAGCTGCTAAACAAACTGCCAACTTCTATAATTGATCATATTGGGATGCATGAATGGCTGCTATTTTTGTAACTCTTCAACTTATTTCCTGACTGGTGTCCAGTACTACAAAGTACTTGTTTTTTGCTATGGTTTTTGGGCTGGGGGAGGGTGACTAATGAGAATAGGTTGAAATTCAAATTTGTGACACAGTATCAGTGTGATGTACATTAGAGACCTACGTATGCAAGGAAAGATGGCGAGAAAACATTGAGATACTATCAGCTGTGATTTATGACACTGGGAGTATGATAAAATTTAAATTAAAAATATCTATAAAAGCACACATGTTCATTTAAAAGATTATAAAATTCAGAACAGCTTGAAAAGGAGAGAAAAATCAACTATCTTAACACTCACCCTCAAGTCATTCCTTAACATTTGGGCACATCGCTACCTTACCTTTTCCAAGAATGTATCATATGTGACTCACACCGTTCACACCACTTAGGAGCCTATTTTCCATCACCACTATGTATTTTCTGTGCCACGAAGCATTCTAAAGCCTTTTATTGGCTGGCAAGAATGCCTTTGTATGAGGTGTATAATTTATTTTGACAATTTCCTATTTTTGGATATTTAAACTGAATCATTTTTTCTCTTACCATTAAAATGAGGCTGCAGTGAATTTTCATGAACATAAATCTGCCCATCACTCTGCCTATTTCTGTGGAAAATAACCTGAAGGGGAATCACTGTGTTGACAGCTGTGTGACGGCTTCTGAATCAGCCTTTCATCCTTCTGGAGACTGGAGTTGCCTGTCACCATGTCAGTCTTCACGGCACACGTTTTTATTGTTGTCTTTCTATTTTCTCTATTTTCTTAATCACCAACCACAAACACACATTCCTTTCATGTGCCACACATTTTCCTAGCGTCCTGCTCATTCCAGTGTTTGATATCTGACACTTAGTTTAACGTTAGTTCTTTAACTCATTCTAAGGATTCCTGGGTGACTACATGCTAGATTAATGCCTCCTGATCAAAGCCATCAATATTTAAGTTGTTAATTTTGCTTTGACAACTGAAGTGTGCTAAAAATAAGGCAGTGTTTCTGGACTGCCCAGCATTCTGATCCTTGAGAGGACTGCGCATAGAGACTTCAGATTTTTTTTTTTTAAAGAAATGAGGTCACAGATTGTCATTGACAACACTGTGCAATAGAACTTAATCCTAAGCCACATCAAAATAACAAAACCACTAGATTTATCCTGAGATTTCATTGACATTCAAAAATTGCCAAGAAAATAATATGTAAATGATCTCACCACACACACAATGTCAGTGTTTGAGGTGATGGATATATTTACTGTCTTGATGTGATCATTATAACAGTGTTCAAAAATCATAACGCCCCTTTACCCTATAACTTTATATAATTATACATTGTCGATTTATAATTAAATTATCTAAAATTAGGAGTACTTGAGGTGGTATGGAAACCTAATACAGTGGAAGCTTTCTAAAATATACACATATATGAAGATGATCTAAATGAAATCACCAAGTAATGGGGGAAACAGAGGCCATTTCTTGTCACCAAATGAAGCTTCCAGTCCTTGGATTGGATTACATCTAATTGAGTTGTTGGCCAACAGGGTCCCATGGGAATCCCCAAACAACCCAGGCTGTTACCAAGACTATATGTTGTTTGCTCTTCAGAAGTGATGGCAAGGGCCTATTGCTGAGGACAGCACCTACTTATTGAACATGGAGAAGTGGAGCTGGTGCCTGAACAGAGCTTTTACCTTGGTGTTCTAAGCATCTTTGGTACAGGAAAGTACTCAGCACACTACCAAAGGAAGCACAGTCACTAAGCCAGCCACAAACCCTTTGATCTATAATGGTGTCCAGCTTGCTAGATACAGTAGGGCAATGGTGGCACAAAGCTTGTAGGAGTAACCAATCAATACTGATTTGATTTAAGGCCCACTTCAAGAGATGGAATCCATACTCAACACTGCTTGGGTAAATAAGAACCTGAGAATAGACAGCCCACAGACCTAGGGAAAAACCAAATGCTACTGGTTTAAAGTAAAGTTAGCAATAAAAGTGACTCCCAAGGACATGCTACTTTATTCATGGATCAGTGTCTTACTCAATAGTCATCAGAGAAGCTTCCTCATCAGAGAAGCTTCCTCTAGTAACAGATGGGAACAAATACAGAGACCCACAACTAGACATTATGCAGAGACTGAGAGACCTTGGAACACTCAGCCCTAAATAGGATGTCTCTCCAACAAATCCCTTTCCTCGGGGCTCTGAGAACCCTGTGAAAGAGGAGCCAGGGAGTGGAAGGTATGGAAGGAATGGAGGACACCAAGAAAGTGAGGCCCTGTAAATCAACATGGTCAACATACACACAAACTCACAGAGACTGGGAAGCATGCATAGGGCCTTACATTGGCCTGCCCCAGGCCCTTTGCATGTGCACCATGGCTTCTGGCCTAGGGTTTCTATGGAGTCCCGAGTGTGCCAGTGGGCGGGCCTCTCTTTCTTGTGCTCTCTTGAGCTCTCTTTTCCTTCTGTTTACTTTTTCTAACTTCGATGTGTTAACTTTTGTGTTATTTTATTTTATTATTAATCCTTAGAAGTCTGGTTTTTTTTCTAATGAGAGACAGAAAGGGGGTGAATCCAGAAGGGAGGGGAGGTGGGGAAGAACTGAGAGGAGGAGATGGAGGGGAAACCATAATTGGGATTATTATATGAGAAAAATATTTTTAATAAAAGGATTTTTTTCAGAAAATTTTGTGTGTGTGTGTGTGTGTGTGTGTGTGTGTGTGTAAAGGAATATTACCAGACAAAAGCAGCTACTCATTGGAAGCCCTCTTGTTTCCCTTCTCTTCTCCTCCTCTCCTTTCTCTCTCACTTTCTTATCACCTTTTTAAATTTTTTTTTTTTGAGATAGGGTCTCACATAGTTCAGGCTGGCCTCAAGCTCAAGCCGAGAGTGACATTGAACTCCTGACTTACCTGCTCCATATCTGAAGTACAGTGAGGACAGAACTACCCACACACTTCCACTCTCTCTCATTCACCTCCAACTTTGCCTCATGCTGCTTTCTTGTTCTGTTAATTCTAATTTTCTGTGTATGGGTATTTTGGATGTATGTATCTGTGTACCACTTGCATGACTGATGCCTGATAAGACCAGAAGAATTCCCTCAAAAAACGGACTTATAGATGACTGAGCCACCGTGTGGGTGCTGGGGCTCAAATGCAGGCTGTCAGGAAGAGCAGCCCGTGTTCTTAAGCACTGGGTCCCTGTCTGCCCTTTATGTGCTTCGTGTGCACAAAAGTACAATGTGTGCTATTTCTCCACCTTATGCAACACTTAAAAATTTTACATCTGCCCATGACTTTCATAACTGTTTCGTTTTCTTGTAGAAGTCACTACTGATCATTATAGAATGCCTAGACATTAAGATGTACACAGGTGGCTGCCTTTCTCAGTCTCTACTTTAATGAAAAAATTTTTTTGGTATTTCACTACCCAGTTATTGCCTTTTGATATAAATTGAGATAAGTATGTAATACTTTCTTCGTATTTATTCTTCTAGCCTATTGCAATACCATTGAAAAAGAACATTGCATGCATTTAGGAATATACACTGTGACAATTTGGTGTTCAAATGTGTAATGTAACAATTGTCAGATTCAGGTTTTTCAATGCGTCCTTCATTGTACATAGTTATTCTTTCAAGTGTATATGTGAGAACATTTGATACTTACTCAGAAGACTTTGAGAACAAAATGTCATGTTGTTAGCTACAGTCATCATGTTATATGCTAGAGCCCCAGAGCATGCTCATAACTTAAAGTCTGTGCAACTCAACCAACAGTCTCAAAAGTTCCCTTCTGACTCACTAACATGATAAAATATATTGTTTCTTTTCATCAAAATAAATTAATTTTACTTATTTTATTAATTTTTAAGTTTGTTTATAAAGCAATGGATTTCATTATAACATTTTTATATGTGTATGTTATTATATTTTGAAATTACAACAAAAGATAATGGGTTTCTTTTTTTAAAATATAAACTTAATCTTAAAAAACATATATGTGTATGTGTGTGCCACGGCACACGTGTGGAGACCAGAGGACACCTGTGGGAGTGGCTCTCTCCTTCTACCATATAGGTCCCAGGGGTTAAACTCAGGGCATTAGACTTGGCAGCAAGCCCCCTTCCCTCCTCAGCCACCTCCCTGGCTCCCACAGTGGAAGTCTCACAGAATCGTGTTTTCTTAGTTGACTCAGATGTTCACTGAACACTCACTGGACTTGCTTCTAGGTAAATAGAATACAAATAAAATGCACTTTTTGCATCTTCATGGGATGAATTTGGTAAGGAAGCTTAGCTACAGCAATGCATTAAACACAGAAGAGGAAAGCAAGTGAAAATATTCTACACAGCACAAAGGAGATGATGGTCCACCATCAGACAACAGGCTCACAGGCGCAGCTTGTTCTGGGGCTTTCACTTAGGATTTTTGTATCAATATTAGGCAGAGGAATTAGTTTATAATATTCTCTATTTGCAATAGTTTTTTTCAGATTTGGAGCCCTGCATTATCTAGTCATGATTTACAAGTGAAAGATTTCTTCCGATTTCCACATGCTTCCAATGTGGACAATCGGCCCTGGAGGCTGACGTTGCCTTGGTATCATCGAGACCACCTTCTGTTTGGGCCTGGCTTTTGAATAACTCTTTACTCTTCTTTCATAGTTATTTTCCTTAATAAGGAGCTAAGTTTTATATAGGGAAAGGCTAAGCTATTTGTTTATGCTCTACTAAATATACATTTGTATGTCTATCTGTATTTCTGCCCACTTATCTCTCCTATGTATTTTTAATGTTTGTGATGTTTTTCCTAATGAAGAATCTATTTTATTTGTTGTATTTGAAGATCTGCTTCCTAGGTTTATTCTTAGTCTGTTCTCTTAATGTCTTCTATTTCATCAAAACTTGCCTTTATTTTAATCAACCGCTTCTTTCCTTTTAACTACAACTTTTACTACCTTACTAGTTTTTTTTTTAACTTCTTGAGGTGAGTGTAGTTGATTTACATTTAAAGCAATAATTTTCTGTGATCACAGTATTGATCAAGAATTTTAGGCTTTACTATTAAGGATTTTCACAGTGATCTTGAATCTATGTGCTGGAGCTCAAGCTGGGTCTGCACTTGGTGCTTGTAGCTGCAACACTGTTAACACTTACAGGTGAAGGCTTCTATAAGTATCTAGTTTGTAATTATTTTCTGTTTTAATTTCACTGTGAATGAGATTTGTACTATTTGACTTTCTGGAATTTATCGAGGACCCTTTGGTAGACAGTTATAGAATTTACATTTGTAAACAAAGCCCACCACAGGATGAGGGGCTCTGTCCTTGGGGATGAGGGAGACAAGAGTTCCATTATCCAGTCTGCTCCAACAATTATTCAGACCGTCAGAATACATGCGCATGTCTCTTTATCGTCCATGAGCAGAGACAAGTCTCTCTTCCTCTTACCGCGCTATTAATGTAGATTTCTAAGATTTTCCTGTAGCATATTAGACATGATACACCTTTCGACTAGACTTTTTTTTTTTTTCTGAACAGGGTTTCACTACATAATCCTGGCTGTTCTGGAACTCATTATGTAGACCAAGCTGGCTTTGGACTCATAGAGATCCACCTGCCTCTGCCTCCTGAGAGCTAAGATTAAAGATGTGCACTACCACACTCAGCTAAACTATACATCTTCTTATCAAAATAATCTTGCTTGCCACATTACTTTCTGCCTGGTTTTTAACTTAGTAAACCATGATACCTGCATTTTTCTACTTCAGGCATAAGTTACCCAGCTCTAGTAAAGATATATGTATACATGTTCAAAGCATTTCATATCTGGGCTGATCACAGAGGGAGCTGGTCCTAAGGGAGGTCCCTGCTTTAGTACTGAGCGCTAACCATAGCAAGTGTAGACACCCAGGAAGGAGGGGCATTGGAAGGAAGCAGGCTTGTGTGTGGCTGTTTCAACAACTCACACAGAGCTGTACTCATACATGGACTGAATCCAATTCAGAGCCATTCTGAAGATTAATCTGAGAGTTTTTCTAAAGCCCAATTTGAAAATCTTTCTTCTTCAAAATGATTTTAAAACTTTAAAAATATTTACATTTATGTTCAGAGCTGATATATATGATCTTAACTCTGCTGTTTGCTTTTAACCTCCCTGTCTAGTAATTTGAGGAGAAACAAGTACAAGCTTCCCCCATCTGTTTTGTTTTTGTTTGTTTGTTTGTTTGTTTTTATCACCAAAATCCCTGCAGGTTGTGTTTTGTGCAGGGTGTATTTGTTTCCAAAAGCAACTGTCTTAAACGCAAACCCTCCACGCCCGAGTAGAGGGCTAAGGGGTGAAGCGGAACAGGGAGAACGCAGGTACCTATGCCAACCGTATCAGGTGTCAAGTCTGGGCGTCTTATGGCAAAGAAGAGTTCTAAGTAACGTATTAAATGAAAACTACTGAGGATGTGCAGGGAGCTCTCCTGTGCTGGTATGAGCCTGTGAGAAGGGTCAGGAGAGATGTGGGAAGAGGGGAAAGGAAAACATTAAACACAGTTGTTAGCTAAGCTTCAGGTTCTAATCCAGCCTGGAGATGCTGGGATAAAAAATAACCAAGAACGAAGGAGCTAGTGATTAAGAAACGCACACTATTCATCCTTATGTTTCAATTTAACTATACTTAAGTTTAAAATGAAACAGGATAGGTCTTGTTATGTTTGTACCCAAATTAAGTTCATTAATTCATTTCAATATTTATAATTATTCTCTTAAAAAATTCTCAGACTCTCTGGGAGAAATAAAATACCAACAGACAAAAAACTTAAATATATTTTAAAAAGAATTAAATATGTATAAATTGGGAAATGATGTGCAAAGTATACTTTGTGTAACTTAGGCTTTCTTTCTGAGAGTCAGAGTTAGAAAATAGAAACAGCGAGAAAGGGCTAGCATGTCCATGTGTTTTCCTTCCACCCTCCGGCACCTCCCTCTGACTGGGCGCCTCCCTCTGACTGGCTGCCTCCCTCTGACTGAGCGCCTCCCTCTGACTGGCCGCCTCCCTCTGACTGGCCACCTCCCTCTGACTGAGCGCCTCCCTCTGACTGAGCGCCTCCCTCTGACTGGCCGCCTCCCTCTGACTGGCCGCCTCCCTCTGACTGAGCGCCTCCCTCTGACTGAGCGCCTCCCTCTGACTGAGCGCCTCCCTCTGACTGGCCGCTTCCCTCTGACTAGCCACCTCCCTCTGACTCCGCAGAGCTCCAAGGTGCAGAAGGCACAGCAGGCCCTTACCAAGAAGCGCCACCAGGGTGAGCAGGATCAAAATGTGCTTCATTCCTTTTCTTTTATGGAAATACAGAAGGATGCAGAAAACTAGGATTTCTAAAATCTAAAATTTAAAAAGATAAAGAAAAATATGAGTAAGTTTCTCTACTTCGTCTACAAGACGCCCCAAGTATGTGTTTGGATTTGCCTTGGTTCTAATGAGGGTTAGGGTGACTGAGGTTTCCAGGGCTGATTATAAATGGAGGACAGCGTCAAGACACTCAGTCACTCGAAGCGCTTGAACACCACCTACCCACCAGTGACGCCGAGCCCAGCTCTCCAGGCCTGGCTCCCTGCCACTCCAGTCTCATTTCTCTCAACTGTTTCCTGTCCCTGCGTGTGCTGAGCAGACAGGTACTAAGTTGGGCAATCCTGTAGGCACGCCCCACTGCAGAGGCTCCCAGCTCCCTCCTCCTTTGCCCTCTGCCAGCCTCCTTGCATGGCTGCAGTCGTCTTCCATTTTGTCTGACTATCCTTTCCTTTCAAAACTTCTACGGGTTGGCAGCGGTGGTGGTTTGAATAGGAACAGCTCCCTAGGTTCATGTGTTTGAATGCCTGGCCCACAGAGAGGACTGGCCTTGTTGGAGGGGGTGCATCACTGTGGAGGTGGGCTCTGAGGTCTCCTGTGCTCAAGCCAGGCCTAGTACTGCTGCGGATCAGGGTGCAGAACTTTCAGCACCTCTCTCCAGTCTCATGTCTGCCTGTGTCCTGGCATGCCACCATGTGTCCTGGCATGCTGGTAATGGATTAAATCTCTGAAGTGGTAAGCTAGCTCTAATTAAATGTTTTCTTTTATAACACTTCCCACAGTCATGGTGCCTCCCCACAGCAATAAAACCCCACTAAGAGAGCAGCCCAGAAGAACTTATTTACCTATAAAAAACATGCAGGAAAATGGGTAGAAATCAGGTTCTTACCTGATCATATTACATTAAGAGAAATAAGTAAATCAGACTCAGATTAAAACAAAAGAAAAGAAACAATTATACATGAGATTCATCCAAATTGATTCGGGGAGTGAAAATATAAATTGGATTCAGCCATTCTTTCGCTTGAATTTCTCAAGGCTTTCTATCGGTTGTACATTAGAAACCACATTTCTCCTGGGTAAGGATGTTGAGCTTCTGCTGTAGACGTCACAGATGGGCCACTCTGTGCTAACAGTGATAGCCCCTGTCCTCTCCTGCTCGTCCTTACCCTCTCCCATCCGCCTTCCATTGCTCCCTCTAGTTCTTTGCTATTCTCAGACGCTTTGCACCGATCTGCACACAAAGGCTCCCTTTGTGACCTTTGGGTGTTCTGTTTCCTTCCACTTTTAACAGGAAGGCTTTGGGGCTGGAGAGATGGCTCAGCAGTTAAGAGCACTGGCTGTTCTTCCAGAGGTCCTGATTTCAATCCCCAGCACCCACATGGTGGCTCATGACCATCTATAAAGGGACCTGATGCCCTCCTCTGGCATGCAGGTGCCCATGCAGCCGAGCATTCACACATTAAATAAAAAATAAATGTAAAAAAAGATTGCAAGAGGTTAAAAAAGATTTTTTAAGAAAGTTAAAACAAAAACCCCCCAAATAAACAAAACAAAACAAAACAAAACAAAACAAAACAAAACAAAACAAACACCAGGAAGGCCTTTTTAGCCCCGTGTCTCTCAGGTGCAGGGATCCAGTTCTCACCTGATCATTACCAGGAAGCAGAGGGCCCTTTCTCATGGCATAGGACATGGAACATTTGCTTCATGCCTGCTCTAAGCTTTGGTGAGGTAAAATATAGATAGGTATAGCCAGTTCTAAAACTCACGTTGATTTTTTTCCTCCTCAGATTCTATCTCTGTGGCTTCAGAACAGATAAACATGAGTTCTCATTATCCACAGAATGACTAGTGACACTGGGTTCCACCTTGTGTCAAGAGGTCACACAGTTCTCAGGGGAAAAAATTCAAGTAGTATGAACAACAGCTATCCTTGTATACACTTTTCTCTGAAATGCTAGCCACCTGTGGCTCTCTGGGTTCCTGCACCCCATGAAGAAGCCTCATTGCTGACTGGTCTGTGAACCCAATGTACAGCACTCTTCTTACCCAGCTCACCCGTCCTTCCATGCTCAGGAGGCAGGTACTGGGATTATCTTCATTTCATGGGTGGAGAAATGGAGGCTTGATGTATATGTGGGGCAATGTTAAAGGATATTGCCTCTGGCATGTTGAATAATGCAGCCCAGCCAGAGGCCCAGGTTCTAAATACTCAGAACATTTGTTTACATTATAGCATTTGGCACTGGGGTTTTACAGCTGTGGTTAAGGCTATGGGCCTGAAATGGGAGGTGACCCTGGATGATTCAAGCCAAGCCCTGCAAGCAGAAGTCACTGTCTCAGAAAGACTGGGCAAGCCTGAGCCAAGCACTGCTGAGGACTTGCAGGAGCTGGGAAGTGACAGATTCCTTTCTGGAGGCTCTGGCAAGGAATAGAGCCTGCTAGCACCATGACCCTAGTCCAGGGTCCTGAGCTAGACTTCTGGCCTGGAACACAGTGCGATAATACATTTCAGTTGTTTGAAGCTGCCTCATTTGTGGCAAATTGTTATAGGATTCATAGAAAACTGATTTAGGTTTTGATTCCTGAAGTCCTTCCCAAGGAATCATCTTTAGGATAAATTTTCTGAGTTGGTTTCAGAATTTTGTTTCATTTCTTTTTTTCTTTTCTTCCCTCTCATTTTTTGTCCTCTCTCCTCCTCCCCCTCCACCCCTCCCGCCCCGTTTTTCAAGACAGTGTCTCTCTACATAACCCTGGCTAGCCTGGCCTAGAACTCACTCTGTAGACCAGGCTGGCCTTAAACTCACAGAGATCTACCTGCCACTGCCTCTGCAGTGCTGGGATTAAAGGTGTGATCCACCACACCTGGTGCTCATGAGTTTCTTAACTGATTCTTGAATCTAATTAGAATTTTACAGTATCAGTTAGGCCATTTTGGTGTGAAGGAGTCAATGGCAGTCTAGGAGATGACGGTCAAAACAGGCGATTTCACCAATCTGAGTCTGAGTGCATTTTTTCTGTGTGTGTGTGTGCTGTGTGTATACATGTGTGTGTGCATTTGTGTGTCTGCATGTATGTGTGCACATTGGTGTATATGTATATCTGTGTGTGTGTATTGTGTATGTGTATACATCGGTGTGTATGTGCGTGTGTGTACATGTGTGTCTTTGTGTGCTTGTGTGTGCATGCTTGTACATGTACTTGAATGTGAGTGCTCATGGAAGTCAGAAGGATGGATCTCTTGGAGATGGAATTACAGAATCACCTGATGTGGGTGCTGAAGACCTGTGAGGGGTCTTCAGTATGTGCTCATAGCCACTGAACCGTCTTTCCAGACCCACCCTTTTCTTTCTTTCATTCAAATAGCTTCTTTGTCTAACAGAAATAGGCTCTGTCAAAGCTCTCTGTGGATGAATTTGACCCTTAGTAGTCAGTCGTACTGATCCTGCATAGACAGTTTGGTGACGTGTTCAAGTGTGCCCTCCAGAGAAAGGCAGTCTTGCTTGGAGTTCTGACTCTCTGAATTTGTATCCATTGATGTTGGCTAAGCTATTGGACTCTCTCTATGCCTCAGTCTCTTCTCCTGGGAGGTGAAGACGATGACATACCTACACACAGGCCTGCTGCACAGTGACACGGCTGCACAGTGACATGGACACCGAGCAGAGCTGTGCACAGGCCTTGCCTGCACCGTCAGAGTGTCCATGTCCTGCTGCAGGCAGTGTTGTTTTCTTCCAGACAACAAAGCAAAGGGATCTCATGCAAGAGTTGTTTAACAGAAACAGTTTTCTTCCTCCGGGTTCACAGCACCAGATGGTGTGTGTTCAATTAGCTTTGTCGGAACTGCAGACTTAATAATCAGCATTGGGGCACAGATTTACTCCAAATGATAGGTTTGGCCCCTGTTGCTGCTGATTGAGGAAAGAAAACGAGCACTGTGTAGATTATCGTGTGAAGGATTTTATGTTCAGAGCAGAGGTTTCAATTTGAGTAGTTTATTGGAAAGTCTGGGTGGGCAAATGAGCCACCACCAAGCCTGCCAAAGAGTGTGATGTAATTGAGGCTTAGGGCTGTACTTCCTAGGAGGGCTGCAAAGAACACGTGAACAGGTGGACTGCTCAAGGAATGGCTCTACAACTCCTTGGCCAACGCAGATATACAGGACTAAGGAGAGCAGACCCTCTCCGTCCTTAAGGACACTGTTATCCCACTTACACACATGGTAGATTTCTCAGGAGATGTGTTCTGTATCTTTACAAATTACTCCGAGCTTGAGATTCCATTCAGCCTTGACTTTTGACAGGTTTTGCTAAAGAGAACTATTCCTCTGTGGCAGAGGAGGAGCCTGGAACAGCTGGGCAAGGGGTTGAGCAGAGAGCACATCCTTCTCCCCTGGTCAGTGACACAGACTTCTCAAGTCCCTTTCCTGAACAAGAGCACTAAGCAGGGGGTAGGCTCCTTGCTTTGTGACAAGGCACCCACTTCCACAGAGAACTGGACATAGCACAGGCACCCATGGTCCATGGAAACATATAGGTGAGAACAGTGACTTTACAGTCCCTTGGTGGAAAGTGCAAAGCTGATTAAGACTTTTGAATATTTTATTAATTTGACATGTGATTCTGATCAGTCCTGAAAAGCAATTCAGATACTGTATTTATACTTAGTGTAATACAGAAACATATGAATGACTTGCTAGTCATTAGGCAAATTAGTCTTTTGGGGGTAGAGTTGAGACAGGATCTTGCTATGTAGCGCTGAACATGTGATTCTTCTGCCTAGGCTTCCCAAGTGTTTTGGTTACACTCATGTGCCACCACACCTAGCTCAAAAAATAGTCTTAATGTAATTATGACCTTTGTAAAAATAAAACACCAAACACAACAGTAAAAACCCCACCTAATCTACCACATCTAAAAAGTGAACATTGACTATTAAGATATTCAACATATTTAACCTAAAATTCAGCTCAAAGGTGTTAGCATAGAACTGATCACTCCTGTAGTTCTTAGAGATGCAGTTACAAATGAATTACATTCCAAACTGGAATAAAAGTCCCCTAATGGTAAACATGCTGCTCAATTGTAACTATTATTAAAGAATTATTTTATGCTATCTTACAAATACCTGGAAGTAGTTAAACTTTTCTGTGTGGAATTTATTTTGAAATAGACTTCATTAATACAATATGGCTTTTTGGAAGTAGAGGTTTCTTCTAGGATTATAGAGTTTTGTCTATAAGAATTCCTCTCAAGGGCTGGAGAGATGGCTCAGTGGCTAAGAGCACTGACTGCTCTTCCAGAGGTCCTGAGTTCAATTTCCAGCAACCACATGGTGGCTCACAACCATCTGTAATGGGATCTGATGCCCTCTTCTGTTGTGTCTGAAGACAGCTGCAGTGTACTCATAAACATAAAATAAAGAAATGAATCTTAAAAAAAGAGCTGGGCAGAGGTGGCACACGCCTTTAATCCCAGCACTTGGGAGGCAGAGGCAGGCAGATTTCTGAGTTCGAGGCCAGCCTGGTCTACAGAGTGAGTTCCAGGACAGCCAGGGCTACACAGAGAAACCCTGTCTCAAAAAAACAAAAACAAAAAACAAAAAACAAAAAAAGAAAGAAAGAAAGAAAGAAAGAAAGAAAGAAAGAAAGAAAGAAAGAAAGAATTCCTCTCTATTGCCCAGGTTACAACATGTGCTATGCTATGCTATGCTATGCTATGCTATGCTATGCTATGCTATGCTATGCTATGCTATGCTATGCTATACTATACTTTGACTGAGTGAGTAAGTAACTGAATGTAAGAGCGAGCTTTGAGGCCATTTCTCTGTGAGCGTTGGGATGAGAGTGTAACTAGGAGGAGTTGGGGAGGACGGGTAGCTGTAGTCGACAGTGTATACATATACAAGTCTCAAAGACTAAAAATATTAAAGGGTTAGCTTTAGAAAACAGCAACATGTAATTAAACTTAGAGTATTTTTGTCCGTCTACAGGCTTACTAAATGGTTCATGGGTAGGGGCTACATCTCAGCAGTAGTAAATTGCCTACAGTGTGTACTTACTCTGGTTTCAATCTCCAGTACCATGAAGGAAAAAACCCAGAAAAGCGAACATTTATAAAGTCAGTTTTGTCTGCTTCAGATGTATTTTCTGGTATTAAAAACAATACAAGATATGTCATCATTAAACCATGCGATTTATTCCAGGAAAGAAGGCTTGATGCATCTTTAATCTCCAGAGGATCTAACTCAGACTATTAATTTTCTGGTCACAGGTTATGTCACTCTTTTGTTACTGGATGAAGCATTTGTTTTGCCTGCAGGCAAAAAGTCCTAATGTGTTGGTCAGATTTCAAGCTGCACTACCATGACATATTCAATAAAGTGTAAGAAGCAGAAGTAAATCAGAGATTAAAGCTCCGTTTAGTGTTTAGAGTTGATTGATGAAAGCTGTGGTAGTTAAATGGCCATGGTGATGGGCATGTAGGAAAATAATGGGGCAGAGTGGAGGTACAGACTATGAAGGCCCTGGAAAGGGCAACTTGAGTTGGGAAGCCCGATGCCCAGAACTGAGGTAGGGCAGGGGCTTTGGAGGTATCAGGAAGTGACAGGGTGGAGATGCAGTCCACGAGAATGAAACCATGGCTATCAGCATATCAGAAACACGTGTTTCTTTAGGTAGGGCATCGAGTGATGGGCTGTCTGATTGACTGATGAACCAAAAACTCTCCTGTGACAGGGCATTGTTGGAATAGAGGACAGATAAATAGATAATTAAATCACAAAGTGGCCTGTAACAAGTATAGAAAATGGAGAAACTAGTTTTGTAATATTTTCACAGTTGAAGGTGCATCAGAATTGCGTCCATAAGGGTAAGTTTGTAGGGAGCTGGAGGGATTGTAGGTCAGAAGAGGCAGGGCACTTTTTTTTGGCAGAGGAACCCACAGGCACAATGGTACTGGGTAGTCACATGGCTGGAAGGATGATGCCTGCAGCTGTGGGGATGCCTGCAGCTGAGGGGATGCCTGCAACTGAGGTGATGCCTGCAGCTGTGGGGATGCCTGCAGCTGAGGTGATGCCTGCAGCTGTGGGGATGCCTGCAGCTGTGGGGATGCCTGCAGCTGAGGTGATGCCTGCAGCTGAGGTGATACCTGCAGCTGAGGTGATACCTGCAGCTGAGGTGATGACTGCAGCTGAGGTGAGGTACTGATGAGGATCAGCAGGGGAGACTATGTTTCTTAAGGCAGTGCTGGTATGGCTTTAGAGATAGATGATGACAGCTCAGATTAATGCATTGGCAAAGGGAAGATAAAAGGTGGGAGGTGGTCAAGAGCAAGAGACTTGACAACTCAGAAGGATGGAGAGTGGGGAACCCAGCTGTGAGAGGCGTCAGGTGTAGTTCGGGTTTCCAATATGGCAGACTGACACAGAAAAGATGAGAGAGTTTGGTGGCAAAATCCTGGGTTCAGATTCTGTTACTTGCATTCGAGGAAGCTATGGGACATTCCTGAAGTGCTGAGTAATGAGTGAATGAGGAGGGGTCAGGCGGTCTGGGAAGGAGAGGTGGGTACGAACAGCAGGGAGGGAGCTGTGTGAACAATGGCCTCTGTGTTGGGTAGGTGTTTGTTTGTTTGCTTGTTTGTTTGTTTTTAAATCAACGTGATCCAAACTACAGCTGTGGGGGAGGGAACCTCAAGTCCATCAGACTGGCCTAAGGGCTTGTCTGTGGAGGCGCTTGCTTAATTAATGACTGCTATGAGGGACTCAGGCCAGTGTGGCAATTGCACCCCGGCTGGTGATCTGCATTGTGTAAGACAGTAAGCTGAGAGCAAACGTCAAGCCAGCCCGTAAGCAGCACCCTTCTGCTCCTCCGTGCTCCCTCTCCACTCTCTACCCAAGGTTCCTGATTTGAACTCTCACCTAGTCTCCTTGTCACATACCTGTAAGCCAAGGAACCCTTTCGTCCCCACTTGCTTATTTTTGGTCCTGGTGTTTATCACAGCAATAGAAAACTAACTGGTAGCATCTATCATATAAGTGGACATAGCTGGTTGACAGAGGAGGAGAGCTCACAAAGAGCCTGAGGTGGATTATTCAGAGAGGGAAAGAAATGTAAAATATACCAAGAGAGGCATTCCAGATGGACATGGAGTAGACTCTGTACCAAGTTCATGAATTCTCTCTCTCTCTCTCTCTCTCTCTCTCTCTCTCTCTCTCTCTCTCTCCTCTCCCTCTCCCCCTGTTTTCTCCTTTTCTTCTTCTGTTCTTTCTCAGCAGTGTATGGAGAGAGAGGACAGGTGTAAGTAAGGAAAGGGGTGAATGTGAGCTGGAAAGCGGGTGTCTTGGAAGGCTACAGGACGGTCTGTTAATAGTGTATAGATGTGAATACTTTAAAAACACAGAAATTAACTACTTTTCCATGGTGTAAGAGGAGAAAGTAGGGAATCTTTATAGATATTTGTGGTCCAGGGGTCAGGATTAAGTCAGAGGCAGTGAGACAGAGAACTCTTGTCATGTGGTGGAGCCTGAGTTTCACTCAGGGGCAAAGGTTACCTGTAAAACCTGTAAACACCCAACCATGTTTTTAATACTAAGTCTGTAGAGTAGGGTGAATTTTTTATATATCAGAGAGCTAGAACAGGCGCCTTTCTGAGTCCCTTCTAATGCCAAGAAGCCCCAAAGTCAGTACACTGAGTCTCTACGCTTTAATTCTTTATTATCAAGTTTACAAATTTTTGCCAAACTAATATTAGGTAGGTAAACGCTCAGTTAGACAATTCCAGTTTTTTTCTACTACTTGTCCTTTCTGTAATGTTCTTTTTCTCCAGTCTTAGCTGTGTTCTGTAGGAAATCACATATCTACTGTTTCAATCCAATTTTTTCTTTATATTTACCAGATGCAGCTACTGTATCAAATAAACACCCTAATTAATATCTTCAAGTATCTATTATACCAGCTCCCTCCTCCCCCCCCCCCTCCCTCCCTCCCTCCCCCTTTCTTTCCTTGCATCCCTTAGGATGTACCACTGCTATTACTTTGACTCACTGAGGACTTTTTGGGAAGATGCTTCAACAGTGACTTAGTATCTCACACCCTTCAGTGTCTTCACATGCACGTACACTTTAGTAACTCACTGTGTTGAGAAGAAAGGGTTGCATGGGTTTTCTAATACTGCAGCTACCAATAGTCTAGAGAGTATACTTTAGAAACAGTAAAATATTTAGAACTCTTACCACATAAACCAGGAACTGCCAGCCAACAAAGTAATATTGTACTGTTCTTGCTGAGATAGCTTGGGTGATATTTGGAGCAAAATTCACCAATAAATATGTTCCTGCAAATGCTAGTGTCATACCTTTGAATAAAAAGAAAAGAAAAACCAAAATTTAAAAAACTATTAAAGTTTTTCCTTTTCCATCCTTCCATTTGGGACAGGGTGTTGCTATGTAGTCTTATCTGATTTGGAACTCATTCTGAAATACAGGCTAGCCTCGACCTCACAACTCCTCTTGACTCAGTCTTCTAAATACTGGGATTACATGTTTGCATTATCAGGATCAGTACCTTAAAGCTTTTGATATAAGCATCAGCTAGAAGGATATGTTATTTGTTAAAATGCAGGCAGTTCCCTGTCCCTCTGCCCCCACTGTCCCCTGCCCCCCAGCCCCAAATGGACCTATTAAAACACAAGTCACCAAACTGCCCCTAAAGAGTACCCCATCCTTAAATGAGAATAAAATCCAGGGAGTAGACAGAGCATGCTATAACTTCAGACTTTCTCTGTTGTTCCAAGTGAATCCTATCTTCTTCAGAGAAGTTAGTCAGACGGTTTCCACACCATGATGTACACAGCGGATCCACATAGATCTAGGTCTATCTCTAGTAGATGGACAAGACTAGAGGGTAGGGAAGTCCACCTCATGATGACCAGTTCTCCACTCATTCCTTCCTGGAGCCTGTGAGCTCGGGTGATCTAGACTTTGAAACTCGACAGTAGGCACTTTAACTGCTGTCATTGATGGCAGTCCTTCCAGAAGTAACTGTGGTGAGAGGATCTCCTCACTGTAGAGACCCAATCTAGAATCCCAGGTTAGCTTAGGAAAGACAGAGCACATCATAAACTTAATTACTATCTGGTCACGATTTCAGCATTACTTAGAACAATGGGGGGGTGTGCACAGGAGAATCAGCAAGAGGGGAAGGGAAGGCAGGCCTTTATGTAAAGTACTAAAACCAGCCTATTTGTATAAAAGTAGCAGTCTGAGAAAAAATTATCTAAATAGCCCTTTTTAGGAACTACAGTTGAAAAATACCTTCTTCTTACCACTGAGTGTTAGCATTTTGTCTAAGCTCTGCCCCACAGTTACCTGGCAACAGCCAGGTGTGCCTGACTCACCATGAAAGGGGCTGCTTGCCCCTCCTCTCTCTCTTGCTCTTGCCTTCCTGCTCCTGCCCTGTCCTTTTGTCCCTTCCCCCTCTTCTCTCCACATGCTCATGGCTGGCCTCAACTTCTCTTCTCTTCTCTTCTCTTCTCTTCTCTTCTCTTCTCTTCTCTTCTCTTCTCTTCTCTTCTCTTCTCTTCTCTTCTCTT